CTAAAGGTAGTGATGGAGCTCCAGGAAAGATTGGTGCACCAGGCGCCACAGGCCCTCAAGGTTCACCAGGTCTTGCAGGACAACCTGGCAATGCTGGTAACCAGGTACGGATTTTTGACATTTTGCACATTTTTGAACATAGACTAGTGCACTTAACAAGAATATGGAGAACGCTAGCTATACAAACTGGCGAAACACAAATGTGACGAAATCACATGCATGGTGCTGACCAATTGATTTGATAGTTAGGATAGTTTAGATAGATTATGTATTTATCTAAACAGAAAACATCGTTTATTTACAGCCAATTCAAAAAAGGTTGTCATTTGCAAACCTTAAACTCTAAACCTTAGACCTTAAACTATAACCGCGCAAAGTTTAATGGGAGCACAAGTTTCAAGCTTGGTGGCTGAATATTGCAGCTATTTGTGAATGAATTCAGGGTGCGATAATTCAAGATTTTTAGTCGTACCTAACTGGTATGCCAATGGTTGTTGTCACGTACTTGAGCTGGTACACAATCAATATACTCAATGTGTATTTAGTCTTTAAAATAATGTTCATAAAGTACAAGTTTCTGAAAAGTATGTTCAGACTACGGGGTAGAAAAAGAAGCACAATTGCATATACAAACAATCGACTCCAACGTTTCTTAGTGCTATCAGTCCAATCATGTTTCATGCCAAGACATGTCAGACTAACACGTATACCAACTAAATTACGGTATTGAATACCTTGGGCTTGGAAAGGTCACGTTGTACCAGAAAAAAAGTAAGTACGCAGATAGCAAGAGTTCTTCGTACCTATCATAGAAATAATAGACATTATTTCTATGGTACCTACGTGGTACGTGGCTGAAAACAAAGAAGTACCAGACTGTAATATTGACGTACCTCCGGTACGTAAGTACGCGAATTATCGCACCCTGGAATTGTTCTCGTAAGGAGATATTTATCATGTCTCTAAGAAATGGGCCCCATGCATACCGTAATTATTTGAATAAACGCCGCGGCGTTTATTACATTTTTGGCGCATAAGGTGCGCCGTTTAAATGAGGGCGGCGTTTATTGCAAATTTTGTAACAACAACTGTGAATTTATTGTTTAATTAAAACTGAATTGAAAACGCAATTGGTGTTTATAAACCTCCCACCGGCACGAAGCAGCTGAATTCGAAGAAGACGCTTGCTGGCCACGTCGCAATTGAGCTGTCTCCAGAGTTCAATATAATTCTGAAAACTTGGTCTGACATTGTGTCAGACCAACCCGTGTTTTTTTTGGTCGGACATGATCAGACACTTAATTATTCTCAAGAGGGACGTTGTCAGTTGTCACAGTACTAGAAACCAAAACCGTAACAACTACCAAAAGTCCAAAACCATATGCATAATGGTTAACAAAATTACACAATATCAACGACAACTTATTCAGTATCGTACCAGTATATTTAACAATTATTCGCCGAAGGCGAGGTGATTATCGGGGAATATTTGCCAAGACAAAGTCGAGGTGAATATTCCCCGATAATCACCGAGCCTGAGGCGAGTAATTGTTTTAGTATTTTGACACAAGTCTTTTGTGTTTTTGGGACTGAATTTATTTTAATTTCGCTTATTTCTTTATAAGTAACTTCCACAAAACGGCTAGCTGCCATTTTGAAAATTTCGGTTTTGTTGTATTCACCTGTAGATGAATATAACGGCTTATTACGTCAAATTTGACCAATCAACGTGTAGGATTTGTTATGTTCACTTGTGCAAAAATACTAAATAGTAATATAAAATATTTCTCTTAACACACGAGATGACATTGTTATTGTGTCTGTGTGGATCGGGACGAAGTCAGATCCTGTGATGATGGTCTAGCAAACGTAATCTTTGTTTGCATGTGTTAACATATTTTGTTAAAAAGATTTACAACAATAACGGAGGAAATATTCAAACTGATGAGACAAAACGGTCGGCCATAATGTCCGTGCAGAGTAATCAGTAGACGGCCATATCAGCATTTTGCTCGGCTAATGGCCGGTGGCCGACCGTTACATTGATCACTGGCCCTCGCTTATTAAAGAACTTCCCAGGCGCAAACACGGAGAACAAATTATTCGTGAAAGTCAGTGGAAAAAGGAAGAGAGAAATCGGACTAGTTCTACCGGCAAGATTCTCGGCTGTCACCACGGAACTGCGCATAGCAGAAGTTTTAGAGAGAGAGAGAGCTAAGAGCCTAAGTAGCAAAGCTATGAAGTATAGCCACTTTGAACTTAAGCCCCGTTTTTTTGGTGAAAAAGTGGTATGGTACCAAAAATTGAGCGTAGTGTAAACGGGGTTTAGCTAAATAGGTAGTCCAAGAACCAAAAAAGTGGTACAGGTACCAATTTATCCGTGCCGTACCAAAAATTGAGCGTAGTGTAAACGGGGCTTAAATAACATTGTAATCGAGAAGAATAAGTATCCAAGACGACTGCTTTAGATTTAATGTTGTCTTATTTTTTTAAAGATAAGTACTTGAAATGCTTAGTTATGAATGCTACGAATAAACGCCGTATCGATGAGAAAAAACGCGGTGTTTATTCGAGAGCGGCGTTTAATAATATTTTTGTTGTCCCTGCGGCGTTCATTTGCGGGAGGCGTTTATTCAAAGGAGGCGTTTATTCGAGTAATTACGGTATATGATTAAATGATGCTCCCATTATGGTTTGCACGCTCAGAGTTTTAAGGTTTGCAAAGGAGTGAAAGGACAACCTTTTTTTGAATTAGCTGTATTTGATGCTTATAGAGAGACTCTACCTCTGTAATCTAACGGGCTAACTCCAAAAAAATTACAACATGATCCTGGTGGGAAAGGTAGTGTTCTTTAATTAAACACAGTTGAGAGGACGTCCACCTTCAGTGACCTCCCCTTGGGAGCCTTTGGAATAGTAACTCGTAGTTTATGTTTTAAGTGGGCTTCGTTTACATTCTCTCAAAGTTTAAATAATTTTCCACAGGGTGATCCAGGTTTGAAAGGACAGAAGGGACAACCTGGCCAAGATGGAGCTCAGGTAAGAAATCTATTCACTTGATACAGTTGGTGTTGATGGTATATACAGTATACTCTATCAAATATAAGCTGTTCTCCACTAAGGTTCAACAACAGCTATGCCTTAGTGATCCAGTATTTCCACAGATGATAACCGGAGTACCTGGAGAGAGAATACCTGAAGAGAGAGTACCTGAAGTCAAACTGCTGATTACAATTTGTATTCGTGCTAACAACTGCATATTGCAGGAATCAAACCTCAATCTGAGAGGTGAAAGGCACATGACTTATAACATCACTTTACATACATTATTCAGATCACTCCCTATGGGGCTTGTCAGTGACCGATTACATCAAGTATTATGGTTACTTATATTACTTACTTGCCTAGACTATTTATCTTTACAACAGTTGTGATATTACTTTCCTAACTATGTTTATCCTAACCAACACACAAATAAATTCCATGTTTTTTTCTCCTTACTGGAAACTTGAAAAGCTAACTTAATTTTTAGGAATTGAACCTTGTCTTGGTGAAAGGCACGTGTTCTAAGCAATGTACCACCAACATCCGCCCCCCCCCCCACTAATTCCAATAATAAAATTACAACGCTCGGTGTTTCGTGTTCTAGGGATCTGCGGGTTCACTTGGTGAGACCGGAATTGATGGCGATGATGGTGCCAAGGGACCTAAAGGCGACATTGGCGCTCCTGGAATACGAGGAAGTCCTGGTCAACCTGTAAGATTTTTAAAACGTTGCAGTACAGTTAATTCCCGCATAAAAAACATTAAATGTTCCTAATGAGTCTGAAATTTAGGCAATAAAGCACCGTTTAACGGCGTGCAAAATATAATTTTATTGACATGGTTGGGGCAAACGGGCCTAAAATACAACGACGACTTCAGGCTGACAAACGGACTAGTTCATAACTTCTGTACTGTAGCTGAAGTGGAAGGCAAATTCTAAAAGTAGTTGCCACACATCTAATTTAATATTATAGTGCATATTTAAAAATATATTATCTTGCTTAGTACAGAACAGGGATACACTTTGTCAAATTCAGAAGCTTTGGAATAGCAATCATAAATCTAAACATTAGTACAATGATTAGAATTTAATAGAACACTAACCAGTATAGAACTATTAGAACCACTTCAGAACCCACCTATTGCCAAAATAGTGGTTTTATCCGAACTTTTACTGTACTTTCGGTGAGAGGAATGGGTGGGGGGACGTTTTGGGCATTCGTTGTATGATGTGCTGTAGTTTACGTCTTTTCGCTGGATCCACCCGTTGTCATGTTGACATGTTAGATATTCACGCGTATACTCAGCGTACGCCAAACTCTGATTGGTCCCTAATCAAGAATATAAATTTTACATACATATATTTTCATATTGTATTTCCTTCATATAGGGTGTAGAGGGCAAAAATGGTGATCCTGGTTACGTTGGACCTACAGGGAAAACTGTACGAAATTTTATAATTTCTATCTAGTTTGGGGCTGCGTTCAGTCCGGATTTGATGAATTCACGTTCACACCGGATACATGAAACGGCATCAACTATTTCGCTGACCTCAGAATGACATTTCGTCAAAACGTTTTTCTTCAAGATTGGTTTAGAAACAAATTTGGAGTAGGGTTAGGTTAGGGTAAGGATTAGGGTTCGAGTTGGTGTTTGGAGTAAGGTTAGTGTTAGTAAAACCGTTGCTTTGTTACGTTTTGTCACTCTGAGGCCAGCGAAATAATCTCTTCCACATGAAACGGGACGAATTCAAACACAGTGATGATGAATATGCGTACGGTTCCGAATGTGAACGTAGTCTGAATTTTTACAATACACTGGCAAGCCTTCACTCTTACTGTTACAGTACAACTACTGTACGTATTACTGTATTACTTTACAAAGTTATTACCTTTTTATGCGTTTATTCATTAAGAGAAAAATTATGCAGATTCTCAGGCCTGTTTCAAACGTCGCGCTTCTCATGTGCCGAACGCATTAAAAACAATAGATAATCAGCTGAACTGCCTCATCTATTGTTTCTAACGCGTTCGGCACATGAGAAGCGCGACGTTTGAAACAGGCCTCATTAAACTTTGAATATCTCCTCTCCTCGATTTTTACTTTAATAAGAATCTTTACACTGGATTCTTTTTCAAAATCCTTGTATGACTCCGCGGTCTAATTTCCCTGTCAGTGTTCTTTCCGGGAGGGGGGGGGGGATGTTTGCACGAAACATGGGCTGTTCTCTTCAAAATAAGACCTCATTAAACTTTATTTTTTAGTGTATACAGTGGCTTTACGAAACCGATTTTGACTTAAAAATCACAAAATATTAAAATCTCTGTTGATAACTCTATTAAAGCTCTGCTGATTTCTGCAATATCATTACAAATAGTAAGGAACCGTGTTTTAACTTTATATCGTTTTGGTCTTTTATAAATGACTATTAAAATAGCCCATCAACATTAAACTCACCTGATAAATTAATACAAATATGACAATGTACAGTTTATGATAACTATAAAATATACACTGCCGAGGCCTGTTGTTCAAACTCGTTAGCACTATTAACCCTAAGTTGAACGCTAAGCCTATGTTTTGAGGTATATGTGTTTGTGAATGACCGTTCGACTTTATTTAAAAACGTACAAGCCGTGATTGAAGATTTTTTGTTATTCGATATTTGTTTTCATTCGTATTTCGTTTCTCAGTTTAATTTAAAACAAATGGATAACATTTTTTTAAGGCGGGGAGCCGACACTTAAAATCCCACACATACTTCCAGGGGTCAGGCTTTATACAATTGACAACAGGGGCCTATTGTTTATGTGCCAGTTAGCCTTTAACCTTCGAATAACAAAAAACTTCGATCAAACTTTTCAACGGATTGTAACCCAACAAACACATGCATATAACCCAAAACATGGGCTTAGCATTCAACTTAGGGTTAATAGTGCGAACAGGAGTAAACGAGTTTAATTAAACAACAGGCCTCGGAAGTGCATATTTTATAGTTATCATAAACTGTACATTGGCATATTTGAATTTAATGTTGATGGGCTATTTTAGTAGTCTTTTATAAAAGACCAAAACGATATAAAATTAAAACACGATTGCAAGAGTCAGCAGAGTTTTTAATAGAGTTCTTAACAGATTTATCAACGAAGATTTTAATATTTTGTGATTTTTAAGTCAAAATCGGTTTCGTAAAGCCACTGTTTTCACTAAAAAATAAAGTTTAATGCGGTCTTATTTTGAAGAGAACATCCAATGTTTCGTGCAAACATCCCCCTCCCCGGGAAAGAACGCTGACAGGGAAGTTGGACCGCGGAGTTAAAAGACCCGCGACAAAACCCGCGACTTTCGTTAATAACCCGCGAATAAAACCCGCGATCCGCGACAATTAGATTTAATAATATCTCGGAAATAGTGAAAGAAGAAAGAAAATGTTGTAAAATGTTATTGGCCGTCACAAATTTTCCGTCGGAAAAAAAATTTTGAAGTTGAAAATTTTCAACTTTTAACAATGATATTTTCGGAAAATTTTCTGTCCGTGGAAATTTTTCTTGAGTGGAAATGGGCCTTCATACAGTAGTTGGAAATCGAATTTCCCATTTCCATACATACATTTCCATACATACCATACATACCATACTGGATATAGTATGATAATAGTAAGGACATACTATGGATATAGTATGATAATAGTAAGGACATACTGTGGATACTTTGCACATAAGTATTACAAATAATGATTCTTATAGTACGGATTTCACTATTTTTTTCCAGTGTTCATGCAAGGGGAAGGGTTTGATATCTAACCCACGAAATGCGAGGTTTATAACTTGTGTTACCAATTGGGATTGAAACTTATTTGCTATGCCCTCGGGAGCGTAGACCTCAAACGGCATCCTAGATCCTCGAAAAAACCTCGTTTTCAGTAGTGGATGGTTGCAGCTATATACTAAATTTTCATCTAGGCAAGAAGAACGAAATCCATCACCACAGCTAGATAGAGCATCTTAAAATTCATAGAATTACAAAGTTTGGTTGCGAAATGTTGTAAAATGAGGAAGATATAGCCCTGCGAAATTTGCAAATTTTGTATTAATTTGTATTATGCAAGGGAAAATGCACCACATTTGGGCAGAAAGTGGTGCATTTTCCCGTGCGTAATTATACAAAATAATATAAAATTTGCAACTTTCGCAGGACTATATTTTCCGCATTTTACAACATTTCGCAACCAAACTTTGCAAATGTACTAATTTTAACATGCTCTTTCTAGCTGTAGTGATGGATTTCGTTTTTCTTGCCTATATTAAAATTAAGTGTCTAACTGGAATCATCCATTAGTTAATTACTACAAAAGTTAGTGTTACAGGTATTCATATTATTATAAATTTTTGTAGGGTATCCCTGGTCCAAATGGCAGGAACGGTCCTCCTGGCGCACCGGGCGTTGCGGTAAAACATTGTTTATTTTTGTTATGTCAGAAAATGTTTAACAACAACTTCACAGAGATTTTTTATATTGTGCAAAAAATATTTGACTATGCCATTCGTAAATTCGAACAAGAGATCATGGCCAATTGGCTTGTTTTTTAATAATGTGTTTCAGGACATGTAATTCAGTATAATGCACGGAGTGGGATTATTTCTATTATTTTCAACTGGCAATGGCTGTATTGTAAATACATGTAAATGAAACCTTCACTTTGGTGTACCTATAAAATTTACGATTTTTGGATTTTGTTGTCAGGAAGGAAAATAGATTCTTTGCATTGTTTTGCTTTGCAAATCTGTCATTATACATTCTACAATATTTCGCCACTTTCCTAGGGATAATGTATGGTTTTCCCTCTCTGTTGCAATCTGGTCAAGGGACGTTTTCCGTGGGGCCAACATTGAACGGAGTATATAAGCAAACATGTGATGTGTAAAAATGTAAAAGGATGTTATGTTTGGTTTAGGGTCCTGAAGGACGACGTGGTCCAGCAGGTGCAGATGGTGGTGCAGGAAGAGGTGGCGCTACTGGTCCTCCCGTAAGTTATTATTTACTTATACTCTATCCGAAATCTGTGTCGTTCCATCGTACTGTGTGTAATATGATGTATCAGCTTATTGGCACTGTAGTGTAGGTTCAGATTCAGCCTTTCGGATTATCGACGCCCCCATTCCCCTGACAACGGCCAGTAATCGCGCCTAACGTTAGTAATCACAGAACTCATGGGAAGAGAGACAGTTAGCGCTCTGTGTCTTGCCCCCGAGTCGAGCCTGTTTTCGACCAGACGAACTTTTTGTACGAAGCGACTTTTTCCTTTGTCGCATCACTTCATCGTGATAAGCGATCCTGACAAAGGAAAAAGTCGCTTCGCGCGAACAAACTCGCCAGTAGAAAAAAGGCAAGGGCGGTGACCACCCTGCGCAGACGTGTTTGAAAACATATTTGTTCGCTTCAGTATGTAAAGGGATCTCTCCCTCCTCCTGAGCAAATACTAATCGCAGGCTGCAACCCATGATGTGGAGGAGGCTATACCCTGTGATAAAAGGTGTTTATCCGGGTTTTCGTCCTTCACCAAAACCTTTCCACCTCAGCTGTGTTCCTCAGCTGTGTTCCTCAGCTGTGTTCTGTGATCATACATGGCGATGCGCCCTTGTAAGCCTTCAACACGATCGAGCACGTTTACAATTCACATTTTTCGTCGTATAGTGTGAATCTCGCAAGCTTTTAGTCAACACTTATTCACAGTAATATAATAAGATTTTAAACAATTTTAATCTTTTTTGTGTCCATTACAACAATATCTATATTTTGAGCCTTCACGTCTTCCGGTTTTCCTCATTCACATTCAACGAGGTTGATTCACATTAGGTCTTTGTTGTTCGAGCATGTCTGTCAGGAACTTCTGAATTGTGAAATTAAATAAATCGTTCTACACATCATTAGTATATAGGATTAATCATATTTGATATTACTGTATGTATTATATTAGATATTATTATCATATTAGATAAATCATTATTATTAATTTTCTTTGCACAGGGACCCCCTGGAGATCCTGGATCAGCTGGTCCACCTGTAAGTATCTAGTTGTTCACTTTCAGTGCTTATTTAGTTTCGCCACAAGATATAGCTTTTCATGTCCGTGGGTCTTTTGTAATTCATTCTGTAACGAGTCGTTATTTAGGGGGGTTGGATTGAAGGGTATAGGCCAGACTTGTAAAAATGGGGTGGACCAACGTAATTATTTAAGGAAAAGAGTGCGCCAACCTGAATTCTAAATATATATTTAATGTAGGTTTTTGCACAGGTTGTTTCATACTGTAGTTCCAGTTTGCTTTTTAATATAAAAATTTCATGTATTAAAATATTAAATGTTCATATTTTAAATGTTTATGGAAGATATGTTGTCTAATGTGTCCCCAATGTGAACTGCTATAGTGAAGTTCAGTTTTAAGTTAATTAAAGTCAGAATAATTTATTAACCTTGTTTCTATCAAATTTTACGACAATTATTTAGGATTGAATCTTGGATTTATAGACTGCAGCAAAAGTTTGCTCATAGATAGAAAATGGAATTCATTAATCATTATTCCCTCTACTGAGTAGCGATTTGGTTTCAAGTTGTCCTCCGGATGTTATGCATGAACTCGTTAGGTCAACTGTCCTCACATTTATAGGGTGTAACGAGAAATAACGTGTACATATATTTAATTTTGAATTAGCAATTTAAATCGACCGTATCTGATCAATAGACCCAAGGCTCGAAATGTCTATCCACGTGAAGTGTTCTATATTAAATGTTTTCCATTTTTTCCTTTAGGGTCCACCTGGTAGGCTTATTCAGGTAAGAAATTGAACAATTTATTAATGTACTTTAAAAATATGACTAGTTCAGTTTTGATTTTATATGATGAAGTTTATTGTTACCCAAAACATTTTGTTTTCAATGATCCTCTTTTGAAAAAGATTTGTGGTGATAGATATGCTCTAGTTTTGGTCTAGTAATATAGACATTTCTTGGTATATAGTAGTCTTAAAATACTCATTAATAATTCATAA